TATTTAAAGCGGAAGTGTCACTGATTAACGAGGTCAGGCTCCAAGGACACAGGAGCGGGCGGAAGGAACTGCAGTGGCCAACTGCTAACAGCTTGAACATCGAAAGGATTGAATGACTCTAAGTGAGCAAGATGCCCTTGATTTCTGCAGACTCCTCCTCTGCGTTCCTGAGAAACTCAAGCCCAGGCAAACCCAGAGAACTGCCCCCAAGACATTAAAAAAATAAAAAAGGACTTTAGGCTAAATATGGATGGCTCACACTGATAACCCTAGCTACTCAGGAGGCTGAGACCTGAGGATTGTGGTTCAAGGGCAGCCTGAGCAGACAATTCTGTGAGATTCTTGTCTCCAATTAACCACCAAAAGGCTGGAAGTGGAGCTGTGGCCCAAAGTGATTGAGCTCTAGCCTTGAGCAAAGAGTTTAGGGACAGTGCCCAGGCCCTGAGTTCAAGCCCCTGGCCTGGCACACCAAAAAAAAAAAAAAAAAGTGGATCTTAATTTGATTCCCATATCCAATTTAATTCTTGCTTATTTTTATTTTTTTTCTTTGACACATAATCACTGAACATATTTATTAGGCGCTTAATTAAGCGAATGTGGCGCTTTGAAAATTGAGGCATGGAAGGGAAGAGAGAAACATTCATCTTGCCTGACAACTGAGAGCTAGTTCAAAGTCGCCAGCTAGCTCCAGGGCAGGATTTAGAGAAAGGGTTTCCCACAAGAGGCCCGCTAGGACAAATGACCCCCAAACACAGCTGCTTACTTGTCACAGCTATGACCTCGTGGGTGGTGGAGGTCCACCATTCCCCTTGGGATCTCTGGCCTAAGTCTATCTTCAGGCTGATGGGGATAGTCTGTTCCCAGGCTAGCTCAAATGGTGGCAGGATTTAGTTCCCCACCGGCTCTTGTCCTGTGCCTCGTAGTGTCTCCTGGGCAGTGTCTGGGGTCCCAGGCTCCAAAGGACACTGAGTTTGTCTTACTTATGCTGTCCCTGTCTCGAGATTCCGAATCATTTTATCTTTGAACTTGTGTTTTGTAAATGAGGACCACCGGGACAGGACACATCCATGCTGAGGGCAGCGGAGATGCTCCCGGTTACGTGTCCCCCATCATTCTTGAGCAATCCATGAGCTCAGTGCTCTGGGGACCCCCAGGGAATGGGTGGCGACAAGATTCCAGACAAGTCCTCCACTCCAATGGAGTTGGCTTCCCTAGAATAGGATTCAAGCAAGATGTGAGATGAGGCCAGCAAAAGCCGGGTATAGTAGCTCAAGCCTGTGATCCTCTTTGGGAGGCAGAGATTGGAGGATCTTGGTTTGAGGCCAGCTTAAGCAAACAAGTTGGTGAGGCCCCATCTCAACCAATGGTTAGGCACAGTGGCGCCTGTCTGTCATCCCCAGAGATCAGCTTCCACACCCAAGATGCACTGCACAACATAAAGATGGACAGTAAAATTCATGCTAATAATTTGTGTGTGTGTGTGTGTGTGTGTGTGTGTGTGTGTGTCTGTCTGTCTGTCTGTCTGTCTGTCTGTGTCTGTGTCCCAGTCCTGGGGGTTTGAATTCAAGCCCTGGGTGCTGACCCTGAGCTCCTTTTGCTTAAGGCCAGTGCTCTACCTTAGCTCTGGCTTTTTGAAGGTTAATTGGAGATAAGAATCTCAAGAAGGCCTGGCACCTGTGGCTCGCGCCTGCCATCCTAGCTACTCAGGAGGCTGAGATCGGAGGATCGAGGTTCAAAGCCAGCCCAGGCAGGAAAATCTGTGAGACTCTTATCTCCAATAAACCACTCAGAAAACCAGAAGTGGCGCTGTGGCTCAAGCGCTAGAGCACTAGCCTTGAGCTGAAGAGCTGAGGGACAGCGCCTGGGCCCAGAGTTCAAGCCCCATGACCAACAAAAAAAAAAAAAAAGAATCTCAGGAAGATGAGTAGAAAGTCTCTGTTTTCTATGACAGAGTCACAGAATCACAGTCCGTAAAAATGATCAGGGGAACAGGAAAGTCAAAGGTCAAACAGCCCGTGTGAGACTTGATCCACCACATCTTCTGGCTACATCTTTTAAACCATCGAGCATTTATTACCCTTTGGGTTGATCTGGGGGGGGACGCTTTCACAGGCAGTTAGGGCTGTGCATTTGTTCTTTTGTCTCAGGCTGGCGTCCTTTAGACTCCTTGGACGTGAAGAAGTTGGTGGGGCGGGCAGAGCGCACGTGATGTTTCCCTAGTGGCCAGCAGGGGGCACTGTGGGACTGCGCACTGGGCACTGTTGGAAGGAACCTCAGCCTTCTACCCCCCCCCCCCCCCATGGCGCACAGGCAGAGCTCACCAGGGGGAGCTGACCCAGTTGTTCTGCAGACGACGTTGTTCTGAGAAGGCAGAGTGCAGAACAAACCCCCACTCAGCCACCCTAGCCAGGACCTGGGGTGATAGCCGAGCCCTGTCCAAGGGGTGGGGAGGGGAGGGTCATTCCCAAGGGCCATATATTGCAAGGTGGGTCCGCTTCCCACCTCGGCATGGCTTCTCACGCCAATCGGAGTGAAATAGGGTGGGAGTCTTGCTTCCCAGAGACGATTCCCTGCCAACCACCTCCATGGCTGAATGGCCACCAGCCAGCCCCGGCTTTGCCTGAGCCCCCAGGAGTCATGCAGCCCGGACTCTAGAAGGTCTCCAGGCTGCTGCTGCCCCCATCTTTGTCCTGGGTCTCCGGAAGTGGCTGACCTGATTCTGTGTGTGTGGGGGGGGGGAGGTGGGGCTTGAACTCTGGGCCTGGGCGCTGTCCTCAGCTCTTCAGCTCAAGGCAAGCGCTCTACCGCTTGAGCCACAGCGCCACTTCCAGTTTTCTGGTGGTTTATTAGAGATAAGAGTCTTACGGGGACTTTCCTGCCCGGGCTGGCTTTGAACCTCGATCCTCAGATCTCAGCCTCCTGAGTAGCTAAGATGACAGGCGTGAGCCACCAGCGCCCGGCTCTGACCTGATCCTTCCCCGTTGTGGCTTGTCCTCTCTCAGGATTCTACCCTCTCTCCTCCTCCTCCTTAGTTCCCCTGGGGCCTGGGCGCCATCCTCCTGGTCCTCACAGTCTCTAGAAGTCATCAAGGCTCAGAAAGGTTGGATGCTTTGTCCAATGACTTGAACCTGAGCCTGGAGCCCTGCCTGGCATGGCGCCTCCTGGACAGGCCCAGCCTGCCCCCCTCTGGGCACCCTGCGTGCAATGGACTCTTTGGCTGGTGTACTGCTCTCGCTTTCGAAGAGTCGCAGTTATTTATTCTTTGAATTTCCGAGGAGTATTCTACCGAGCCAGCCCCAGGAGATGGAGGCGCTGCCTAAATGCAAGTTCACCGTCTGCGAGACCAGACTTTTCCAGTGTCAGCTGAGTCCTTCCAGGCAGCCGAAGCCTCCCCAGGGGCAGAGGCTGCTTCCTGCTTCTCTCTCCTGGGGATTTGATGCTACCGCTGACTGTCGGCCTCCATCCGGGGTGGGGGTTGGGCAGGCCTGGCCCAGCAGGGCCTAGGAAAGGGGCTCTGGAGGCTGAGAACTCAAGGACTGGGGTGCCGCTTGTCACTGGCCGGGACTCAGCGGCCCCCGTCCCCCTCCTCCACCAAGGCCAGTGCTCAGATCTAGAAGGTCAAGTTCAATCCTTAGGACTCTTGCTACAATGCTCAAACAGGGAGGTCCCTGTTCCCTGTGAATCTCTCCCCTGATTCCTTTTTTCTTCCTTTTTTTAGGGGGAGAGGGGACAGTCATAGGGCTTGAACTCAGGGCCTGGGCGCTGTCCCTGAGCTTTTGTGCATAAGACTAGTACTCTACCACTTTGAGCCCCAGTTCCACTAATGCTTTTCAGGTGGTTAATTGGAGATGAGTCTCACAGACTTTCCTGCAGGGACTTTGGACTGTGATCTTCGTATCTCAGCCTCCTGCATAGCTAGGAATAGAGGTATGAGTCACCAATGCCCGTCTCCTTTCCTCACCCCCCTTACCACGCCCCCCCACCCCCCAGTCGTGGGGCTTGAACTTGGAGCCTGGACTCTGTTCCTGAGCTTTTGTGCTCAAGGCTAGCACTCTACCACTTTGAGTCACAGCACCACTTCCAGTTTTCTGGTGGTTAATTGAAGATAAGAGTCTCCTGCCCAGACTGGCTTTGAACTGCAGTCCTCAGATTTCTCTCAGCCTCCTGAGTAGCTAGGATTACAGGTATGAGCCACCAGCACCTAGCATGCTTTCCTTTTTTTTTTTTTATCGGTCATGGGACTTGAACTCTGGGCCTGGGTGCTGACCCTCAGCTCTTCATCTGACAAGAAGAGTGCTCTACCACTTGAGCCACAGTGCCACTTGTGGTTTTCTGGTGATTCATTCAAGATAAGAGTCTCACAGACTTTCCTGCCTGCACTGGCTTTGAACCTCGATCCTCAGATCTCAGCCTCCTGAGTAGCTAGGATTACAAGTGTGAGCCACCAGCGCCCAGTTTAGCCATTCTTTCTTTCTTCCTTTCTCTCTCCTTTTTCTTTTGCTAGTACCTGGGCACTGTTCCTTAGCTTTTTTGCTCAAGGTTGGCATTCTATCGCTTGCACTGTAACTTCATTTCTGGCTTTTGGGGTGTGTGTGTAGAGGGGTGTTAGTTGGAGATAAGAGTTTCACAGATTTTCCTGTCTAGGCTGGCTTCAAATCTCAACCCTCAGATTTCAGTGTTCTAAGCAGCTGAGATTACAGGCTTGAGCCTCCAGTGCCCAGCCGATTCCTTTCTTTTATCTAGGCTGGTGAGGAGGCAACTTCCAGAACAAAGTCCCAAAAGCGCTCTGACTTTTTAATCAGGACAGACTTTCCCCAGGCTCCTCTCGTTTGCAGCTTGTGTTCCTAGCTTACGTGTCAGGACTGCCACAGGAGTCTTCAGTCCCAAGGGAAAGATGGGTCCTGAGATGCTATGGCTCAGACACGGGTGACAGGGTCTCTCGTGGGGGAGTGGGGGGTGGGGTGCAGGTGGCGGGAGAGACATGGAATGACTGCTCGGGGACACGAAGACAGGTCTGTTTAATGACACGGCTGGGTCTGGTTACAAACATCCGAGACTACAAAAGGTGGACAGGAGGACCTTGGGAGGATGGGACAGGAGGGGATGCAGGCAAACTATCCTTCAGGACAATCACATGACCAAGGGCACACATGGGGGGAGGGGCCCAGGGAGGCGGATGGGTGGAGAGGAGGGGGGAGGGGGTGAGCCCCAGGCTCTGCACTTGGGCTGGTGCTGTCTGCCAGAGGGTCAGTGAACCTGGCATGTCAGCCTTCCCTACTGAGCCCCCCTCCCTGCCCGACACCCCCCCCCACGTGGCCACCCAGTGGGGAGCTGTGGGCCTCTGGGCCTGTCCTGGCCCTTTCTCTATTCTAGGACAAGTCCATGAGCCAAAGCTCTTTGGGGGAAGGGTAGGAATGCAAAATCATTTTTGCCCAGAGGTGGAAGGCAGGAATGAGGGGAATTGGTCTGAGTGGCTGGACTTGTCCCACAAGGCTGGGTCACCGCAGCTTTTCCCAGCCAGCCAGCCCAAGCCTCGGTGCTTGTCCCGCGTTCTTCTGAGCTGTCAGCGCAGAAGTGTAACCAGGCCTCCCCTCCCCCCACACCTCCCATCCCCCCACGGAGAGGGGCAGGCGAGGGTCCCAGGCCTGCAGATACACGTGATAGGTATAGATTTATATAGATATAGATATATAGGTATAGAGATTTCTATAGAGATCGTATATAGAATATATCTGTGGTGATGGTAGATGTGCGCTCAACTCTAGATGCTGAAGTGGAGACCTGCATGCTGGTGGCCAGAACAACACAACTGGGCTGATTCTTTCCCAGAGTGACTTAGACTTCGTCCCCGCTCCCTGCCAGCCGCTCAGCTTGGTCCCTCTCTAAACAGTGAATAGAAAAGCTAGGAGTGGCCCCTCTGCAGGGCGGGAGGGTGCCCCCCCCCCCCGCCCGCCAGCTGGGGTCCGCATCCAGGCAGCCAACATGGCCTCCCGGCAGCTGGGGGGGGGACTGAGGCCGGCCGTGGCGAAGGCCTCCTTCCAGGAAGACAAGTCGGGGTTCCTCCAGCTTCCTTGGCACCTCAAAATGGAGGGTCAAGGAGGGTCTTCAGAACTCAGCCTTCTGCTCAAGGTGCTGCCTTGGAAGGGGGGAGCTGGGAGGGGTCCTATGGCCCCGAGGAGGGCAGCGTGGTGGGGGGGCTGTGGACGAGATAGGAGATGGAGTCATAGGTTATGGGGGGTCTAGAGGGAGATCAAGCCCCCGCCTCCTGGGACATGGGGAGAGGGATCTTGGGGTGGTGAGGCAGGGTACCCCAGCACGATAGCAACCCATTTTCTCTTTTTTGGTGTGTGTGCCAGCCCTGGGACTTGATGTCAGAATCTGGGCGCTGTCCCTGAACCTTTTTTTGTTCTTGCTCAAAGCTGGTGCCCTACCACTTGAGCCACAGCTCTACTTCTGCCTTTTTCTGGTGGTTCATTGGAAATAAGAGTCTCATGGACTTTCTTGCCTGGGCTATCTTTAAACTGCGATCCTCACATCCCAACTTCGGAATAGTTAGGATTACAGGTGTGCGCCAAGGTGCCTGGACCACCATGCCTTTCTACCACAACTCACTGTGTGACCTCAGGCCGGCCTGCAGACCCCTGAGAGCCCAACCTCTGTTTCCCTAAAAGGTGGAGGCAGCCTCCTCGCCTGCCTGCGTGAGAGAAGCGAGGACACAAACTACAAGAGCATTTCGTACAAATCCTTTTCTGTTCCTTCAGGTCATGACCCTCCCTTGGCCACCCAGGGGGTTTCTGTGCAGCCCCTTTGTGGTTGCTTGCTGGCTGCCCTGTCCCCTACCCCACCGCCCCTCCACCCACACAGAGACACACACACCCTGAAGCCCAGACGTGGAGTAAACAGTGGCTTCTGGCCCATGCTACAGCCCTGATAAGAGAAGTTGGATGGGCCTTCTAGACAGCTCTGTAACACCAGCCCACCCGTGGGGCTCAAAGGGTTCCGGCAGTGGGGTGGGCCTGCAGGCCTGGGGAGGCCAGAGCTAAGGCCCAAGAATGGGGGTAGGCGGGGACAGGCCCGTGACAGGACAGTGCCCGGATGGAGGCAGCTAGACCCTGGCCCTCTCCTGGTCGCTGCCCATCTCTGTCCCATCCACCAGGGGCAGAAAGGCAGAGGGCGTGGTGGTGGTTTCCTGATGTTTGAGGTTTGGCGTGGTGATCTAAGTCCCTGAGGTCCAGCTGGGGCAGGAGAAGTCGGGGGTGAGGGGGGGCAGCAGCCATGTGTTTCTGATTCATTGGGGCTCGCCGGCCAGCTCTCCCCCAGAGTCCCTCTAGGCCCTTGTAAAACAGCCTTTTCTCGAAAAGCAGGAAGTCTTGTCTCCTAGCTGTAAACAAACTCATCACCGGGCAGACAAGCCTGCCTGGGGCGGGGGGGAGGGGTGGGAGGGAGGGGAAGGTACCCCTTCCCCAAATTCCCTTCCAAGGCCCTTTGGGGTGACAGCTGAAGGAGGCGCAGGTAGCCCCAGTTCTCCCAGTGCCTTCTTGTGGTAGGTAAAAGCCTTCCATTTGCTTCCTATCCATGCCTGCGTTGGGGACAGGCCAGGGCCCAGCTGTGCACATCTGGGGCTGGCCTGGCTGCAGCGGGCCCTGGGAACTCTGCTTTCCTGAGGGGGAGGGGGAGGGGGGGGCGGCAAGGAAGCAGTTCCACCAGTTGGGTCAGTGGCAGGAAGGCCGGCAGGCTTGGGGGACCTCCTTCACTGGGCCCACAAAGGGGGAGGGGGAGCCCTGGAAGAGCTGCCTCCCTCCCCTCTCCCCCCTCCCCCCGCGCCCCCAGGGAAGCTGCTGGGAATATTTCCCTACAATGTGCATCCCCAGCTGCTGGCTGACCCCTGCCTCCCATTCCCGCCTCGCCAGCTCCGTCCTTCCTCTTCCAGCCCTGCCTCCACCCTTGGGGGCGGGGGGGGGGGGCGAGTGCTCCCAGCTGCTGTGTCTGGGGGCCTGGTCACTGGGGCTGACCACCCTCCTAGAGCCCCGGGAGCTGGGAGTTGGCCTCAGGGCGGGGTGCAAAGGAACGCTCCCGCGGTAGCAGGCATGTGACACACGTGTACCTGATGCGTGCATGCGTGTACACATCCTCGTGCTCTCCCTGGCCTGTTGAGGCAGAGGGCGGCTAGGAACGGCCAGCCCTGGATGGCTGACCGCAGGCCCAGGGAGAGGGGCTGAGCTGACCTGGGCCATCTCAGAGCCTTCCTGCCCGGGAGGAGCCCTTTGAACCTGGGTGCTAGGAACCTCTAGGGCTCTCGGGCTGCTCTGTCTGGGGAGGAAGCAGCGGCTGGGGCCGGCGCTGGCCTCCAGTCCCACCGATCTGTGTTCCAGGCCTTCTCCTATGAACGCCTGGTTTTAAGGTTTCCAAAGTCAGCTAGTCTACCAGACGTTTTCCACCCTGATGGTCGGGGCCAGGGTCCCCAGAGAGGTGGGAGGCCTAGGGGGACAGGAAAGGAGACAACATGGGGGGCTTCCCAGCCCGCCCTCACCCCCTCCTCACGTGGCGGCGTTGGGGACCTGCTGTACCCAGCCCACTTCCTTGTAGGCGGCCGTCACGTGGCTGTAGATGAGGCCCCGCAGCTTGGTCCACGCTCCCTGCGTCTCAGGGGGGAAGTCGTTGGCGAACTCCTCGGCGATCACCTCTAGAATGACCCCAGAGAGGATCTGGGGCCAAGGGAGGAAGGAGGACTGAACGCCTGGACGCCCTACCTCCCTCGGTACCCCCCATCCCCACCCCAGGGGGGGACCCCTCGTTGTCCCATGACACCAACGGGCGGGGTGGTATGCTGGCCAGCTGCCTACCTTGAAGTAGACGGGCTCCACCTTGTGCTTGAGCGCGTGGGCCTTGCCGACCAGGGCCAGGACGGAGGACACCTTGTCAGGGTCGTGGAGATTCTCCACCACCGTGTTGAGGGCCCCCATGACCCGGCAGGCATGCTTCCGCAGCTGAGGGCTCCGCTCCATTTCCAGGGGCTCCTCCATGTGTTTGAACTGGCTGAAGTACTGCTTGGCAGAGGGGAAGTTCACAAAGAACCTGGCAGGAGAGAGGGGGGTGGGCACTGAAGAGGAGGGGCTGCCCAGGCCCCTCTGCAGCGGCCAGGACAGGGAAGCAGAAGCCAGCCTCGTCCTGATGATTTTTATTTTTTGCCAGTCCTGGGGCTTGAACTCAGGGCCTGAGCACTGAGCTTCCCTGAGCTTCTTTTGCTCAAGGCTTGAGCCACAGCGCCACTGTCGGCTTCTTCTGTGTATGTGGTACTGAGGAATCGAACCCAGGCCTCATGCATGCAAGGTGAGCGCTCTACCACTGAGCCACCTTCCCAGCCCACCTTGATTCTTTTTGCTGCTTTTCATCATCGTGCCCCCCAAGCCCAGACGCCTCCTCTGGCCATACTGCGGCGTCCAGCTGCGGACTCTGCGCCTCCTCCCAGGCCTCAGCCTGGTCTTGACTTGTCAGCCTTATACAACCTAGCAGGTTGGCTCCAGTCCCCACGGAGAGCACAAGAGCCTGGATTCTGGAATCATTGGTCAGTTGTTCAACTTGCGGTATTTTTTTTTTTTCCCTTACAGACAGGATCTTGCTCTGCTGTGCAGGCTGGCCTTGAACTCCTGGGCTCATTGAGTTCCTCCTGCAAACCAGGTGCTGGTTTCCTGCAATCCCAGCTATGCAGGAGACCAAGAGCTGAGGCTGGAGGAGTTAAGTCAGCCCGGCAGACATATCCAAAGTGCTGTAAGTGGAGGTATGGCTCAAGGGGTAGATTGCCAGCTTTGAATGAAAAAGCTTAGAGGGGCTGGGAAGGTGGCTCAGTGGTAGAGTGCTTGCCTTGCATGCATGAGGCCCTGGGTTCAATTCCTCAGCACTACATAAGCAGAAAAAAGACAGAAGTGGTGCTATGGCTCAAGTGGTAGAGCGCTAGCCTTGAGCTGAAGAGCTGAGGGACAGCGCCCAGGCCCAGAGTTCAAGGCCCTTGACTGGCAAAAAAAAAAAGAAAAGAAAAGAAAAGAAAAAGCTTAGAGCGAGAAGAAGGCGCTGGGTTCAAGCCTCAGGATGAGCATTTGAAAAAAAAAAATCCTCCTGCCTCAGTCTGGACTATAGGCATATAACACTGCACTTGATTAGTTATTCAGCCTAGCTGAGCCTCGATTCTCATTCATAAAAAGGGCACTGCTATTCTATCTCATAAGGGGCTGTGAGGACAGATGAGAAACAGTCCTGAATACAGTGTCCTCAGACATGCAGGCCTTAGTAAATCTCCCTTCCCTCCGCTCCCCTCCTTCTCTCCTCCCCCTATCTCTCTCTCTCTCCATCCTCCCCCACTTCTCTCCCTTTTGGCAGAACTGAGAATTAAACCCAGGGCCTTAAGTCGGCTAGGTAAGAAGCACTAAACCAGCCTCACCCCTAGCCCTTGCGTTTTGTTTTTGAAAGAAAGTCACATTACTTTTTGGCCCAGTTTGGACTCTTAACTTATGGTATGGTCCTCCTGCCTCTGTCTCCTGAGTAGTTGGGATCGCAGGCAAGCCCCACTACTCCCAACTTAAGTGAAGCCTTACTTAAAGTTAATGCTTTCCTAGGAGGTCAGGTGACCTAGCTAAGGTCACTCAGCCAGTGAAGAGAGGAAACAGAGGCTCGGGTCAGCCCCTCCTCTTCCAGCTCAGTTTCCTCAGCCTGCAGTAAACACTGGTTGATTTATTAAAGTTGCAATTGGTGCCAGGCACCAGTGGCTCACGCCTGTAATCCATAAACTCAGGAGGTTGAGATCTGGGGATCATGGTTTGAAGCCAGCCTAGGCAGAAAAGTCTCCATGAGGCTTTTTTTTTTTTTTTGGTCTGGTCGTGGGGCCTGAACTCTGGGCCTGGGCACTGACCCTTAGCTCTTCAGCTCAAGGCTAGCACTCTACCACTTGAGCCACAGCTCCACTTCCGGCTTTTTTCTTTTTGCTTATGTGGTGTTGAGGAACCCAGGGCCTCAGGCATGCAAGGCAAGCACTCTACCACTGAGCCACCTTCCCAGCCCCTCCAAGAGACTCTTATCTCCAAATAACTATTCAAAAACCAGAAGTGGCATTGTGGTAGAGCTCTAGCCTTGAGCAAAAAAAGAAGAGCTCAGGGACAGCACCCAGGGCCCTGAGTTCAAGACCCACAACTGACCAGAAAAAAAAAAAGTAAAAACCTATTTGACTTGGTGCTCAGGGCCTCTTACCCACGGTTCCACAGTCATTTCTCCAGTACCGCATCCACTTGACCCCTGCCCTGAGTCATCTCTGGTCCAGCCCACAAGCTGCCCTTACTGCTGGCCAGCCTTCCTCTCCATGGAGTGGAATGCCTCCCTGACTCACTCCCCAGGCAGACCTCCCCTCCCTGACTGGGCTGGCTGACCAGGACCACGGATGTCGCCTCAGGGCCTTTGGCGCCATCTACCAGGCCTTCCTGGCCTCCGCCCTCACAGTCTGCTGTGTGGGATGGTGACATCAGTACCTCCTCTCCCACAGGGACTGGACCCCGTGCAGACATGGTGGGACTCCAGCAAAGCCACCACATAATGGAGTGCCTGGGACCCGTCCTTCAGGTCTTGGGACTCCTCTGTCTGCCCTTTTCCCTCTGTCATAGCACACAGCTGGCAATCTGTGCCCTCAGCCAGGGCTCAAGTCTCAGCTGTGAGAGCTGGATGGGCACAGAGCAGGCATCTGGCTAGCATATGGCACGCTGGTTGCTTTTGGCTAGGCAAGGTTCAGACAACCAGGGTACGTGGCTCCATGCGGACACTCTGGTCTCCATGCGGACACTCTGGTCACCAGGTGGCAAACCAGAAGCACCCCTCCTGGAGGCTGGCTGCGACCATGGGCTCACTCCGGAGCCTCCTTGTCTGCAGAAGTTCCAGAGGAGCCTTAGGAAGGCTCCTACACTAATGGGCAAGGACAGAGGAAGTCTACTAATGTGCTGGATTCTTCGACAGAAGCATTGTATTGACAGACAAAATGGAAAAATCCAGTCTGGGTGTCAGTGAGCACCTCAGACTTTTTTTCTGGGGGGGGGGGCATTATAATTGCATTACAAATAATGATTTCTGAGCTGAGTGGATGTGTTTACAAAGTCCCTCCCTCCCTCCCTCCCTCCCTCCCTCCCTCCCTCTGTTCCCCACCCCCTCTTTCTCTCTATTGTCCTTAATTACCTCAACCCAGCCAGGCTCTGGTGGCTCACGCCTGTAATCCTACTCAGGAGGCTGAGATCTGAGGATCACAGTTCAAAGCCAGCCTGGGCAGGAAAGTCTATGAGACTTTTCCCTCCAATTAACCACCAAGAAGCTGGCTTGAGTGGTAGAGTGCTAGTCTTGAGGGGAAAAAAATTCAGGGACAGCACCCAGGCCCTGAGTTCAGACCCTAGTAATGGTGCACGCACGCGCGCACACACACACACACACACACACACACACACACAACTGTGTAGTCAGTTCTCTGTCCCACTTCACTACTGAGATCATTACAGGGACTCTCTGCTGAGCACTCAGTGTAAGGGCTCCTGAGGTTGGCACTGGGTCTCCATCTCACAGACTGATGCCCAACATTGCTCAAGTCATCACGAAGGAGCCAAGCTTTGATGGCTTCCCCCAGAGTCCCTGGAGAGACTGGTGGGCTGGGCCTTGGCACCTCGGGGAGGGGAGAGTCTGCTGCCTCAATACCCACAGCACCTTGCTGTGACTGAAGAAGACAGAGCCCCGCTTAGCCAGGGGAGCGGGCCCTGTCTGTTCCTCTCCAGCACCCTGGCTTCACTCTCCGGTCTCTGCTTCCTCCGGACCCTCCAGACGGGCCCCCACTGCCAGGGAGAAGCCTCGGCAGCCAGCCGTGGGGAGTTTCTCAGCTCCCAGAGGCATCTGGGTTTCCAAGAGCCTGAAATAGTCTTGTCTGAGTGTGAGGGGGAAGGTGTCAGCGTTACAACCAGGAGCGAGGGTGGGTGAGGGTCTGCCTCAGACTCCTCCCTGGCGGGGAGTAGCAGTGTGGGGTCTGCCTCAGCCCACACCAGCTTCTCCTTCACCACCACCTGGACTGCTAACTTCCCAAGGTGGAGGGTGGAGGTTCCCTGCCTCCTCTTTCTCAGCAGGTTGATAAGGGGGGTGGCCATGGTCACCTGGCCTGGTGAGCTTGCTGCGTGGGGGAAGATGGGAGGATGGGAGCTGGGATAAGTCTGGAACACACAGGAGCTGGGGGTCAGGGCTAATGAGTCCTGTTACCAGACAGGCCACAGGGCAGATGGCAGGAGAAAGAAGACAAGGAGTAGGAGCTGGCAGGGTGTGGCTGAGACAGGGTTGGCTCAGGTTGTCCTGGGCAGGCTCTGGTCAACACAGAGGTGGTGTTGGGGTGTCAACAAGCCAAAGGTGAGCGCCGCCGCTGCAATGCATTGATTAGTCTTGGTCTAAGCACTTGGAAGATTGCTAAATGCCTTCCCCCAGCCAGACCTCGTAACCCTTCGTGTTGGGAATGGACCACCAGAAGGAGATGGAGCAGCGAGAGGAAGGAAATAATGGGAAGAACTCAGACCCAAGAAGCAGCCTTCCCCGTGGGGGATTCATCCACTCCCCTCCCCTGATTCCTAGGCTCTCCCTCACTAGTAAAAGGTAAATCGCAAGGTCCTGTGGTGTTCCCCCCCCCCCCCACGGGATTCCCCCCCCATGCATGGGAGCCGAGGGCGGTGAGTGCCAGCATAGAGCAGTGCCTGGGCTCAGGACTGTGGGCTTGAGCAGCTGCCAAGTGCATCCTGAGCATCTCAGGCTTCGGGGGTCCCCAGTCCCCCTCTTAGCTCCCTGTCACCCCTTCCTCGGCAAGCCTCCCAAGAGAGCTTCTCGGTCTTTTCTATCAAATCTGTTTCTCAGTTGGAACCCCAACCTATCCATGTGGAGCTCAGTAGAGCCGGGGTTTGGGGGAGCAGAAGGGAGAGGGGGGAGAAAGAAGCCAGAGGCTGGGCCAGGACTAGAGACAGGCACACAGGAGCCCTCCTTCCACAGTGAGGGTGAACCCCATGCTTGCGCCCTAAGACCCCCCCACACCTGATCTGCCTCACATTTGCCAGCCTCCTCACATCTAGAACAGGGGGCTGAGGTAGTGAGCCCCAGACTCCCCTCCTGTACCCCACATCCGACGTGTGAGAAGAAAGTCTAGACTCGGTTTGTAGCAGTAGTTGGTCTCTAGCTGACTGGGGCTATGTGGGCATCCGGGGGACCTTGGGTGGGGTCCCCTTGGGGACCCTGATGCCCGACTGAACCTCAAGCCAGAGACAGTGCCGTTTCCTCCTTAGCCAGGGGGTCCCAGGACAAGGCCTTGTTTCCTGAAGTTTCTCTCCTTCCCAAGCACCAAACTCACCTGTGCGTCACCTGGTCTGCGGGCTGGCCGAAGGGGCAGTGGGAGAGCTGGACCTCACTCTCCTCCTGCCCTCTTCTCTCCTGCTCTTTGCTCATCAGCTAAGTTGGACTGGAGGGGAGAGGCTGCTCTTCTTTGATTCCTTTTTGGCGGTCTCAGTCCACCCTCCCCCCCCCACCCCAAAATGAGAGCCACCGGGGCTTGTAAAATGTGTGTGCGCCCGGCCTGGCCGGCTGGCTGGCTGAGGTCCTGGGGTCCCAAGCTGAGGCCAGGGAGGGGAGGGAGACGGCGGGGGGAGAGTGTCTTCCTGCAGCTGCGTTCTAGTTCCCGGTGAGCCCCCAAGCCCTGAGCCTGGAAGGGGTGAGCCCGACGCGCGCGCCTGCTTCCCGTGCCCCACGACCCGGCCCCCGATCGCAGCTGGAGAGGCGGCGCCAGAGCTCGGGTCCGAGCCGAGCCCGCCGTCCCCGCGCCGGGCCCGGCCCGCCGGGCCGGGGCGACACCTACCTCACCAGGATGGCCACCCCCACGTCCTCGCAGTTGGCATAGAGCCGGGCCCACGTCGCCTGCACCGCCTTCCTCTCCGCCTCGGACAGCTCCTCGCCGCGCTCCCTGCGCTCGATCTCCATCTCGCCGGGCACTTTCGCCATGAGCGTCTCCAAGCCCGGCCCGGCCCGGCCCGGCCCGGCTCGGCTCGGCTCGGAGGGGCGCGGGGAGCCGGGGCGCGGGGCGCGGGGCCGGCTGCGTGCGCGGACGGCGGGCGAGGGGCCGAGCGCGGGAGGCAGGGAGGGAAGGAGCGCGTGTGCGCGCCGGGTGTGTGAGTGAGTGTGTGTGTGTGTGCGCGCGTGTGCGTGCGCAAGGGTATATGTGCGGAGGGGGTGGGCGGGGGCCGCGCGCCAGAGGCGGGGATGCGGTCGGTCGGAGGAATGTTCAAGAAATAAATAAATAAACGCGCCCGGAGCCCCCCGCGCGGCGTGGGCGGGGCGATCCTGGCAAGGTGAAGGCGGGGCGGGGCGACGCGCGGCCGGGGTGGGCGTGGTCCCGGAGGTGGGCGTGGCCCCGCTGGGTGGGCGTGGCCCGCCGCGCGCGCGGGGCTCCGGGAGGCGGGGGGTCTCCGGCGCGCTCTCGCTCTCGCGGCCGGGCCCCCTCCACCCCCGCTCGGCTCGGTCGGTGCGCCCCTGCGCACGGCGGGGGAACGGACTCAAAGTCCCGCACTCCCGGGGAAAGGGGGCGAAGCCCATCCGGCTGCGGAGCCAGCAGCCGCTGAGGGGGAGACACAGGATGGTGGGGGACATCTCAGGCACCGTCCAAGTCTCCATCCGCTCGGTCTCGGAGCCCCAGGGCCCCCCGCTCTGGTGCCGATTGCAGGCCCGCAGACTCTGACACCGCGCCGATAGGGCGCCCCCGGCTCCCTCCCCTCCCCCGGGCCCCTCGGGGCCCCTCGCCCGCCGCCGCTGCCCAGGCCTCGCCCGAGGGGAGCAGCGGGAACCTGCGCGGGCCCCGTGGCCAGCCCGGGCCTCTGGTGCTTGCTGCGATGCGGGTGAGGGAAGTCCGAGCGTGGGCCTTCCGTGGGTCTTGGGGTGACCGGGTCCAGCCCCACCATCACGGCCCTGCCGTGCTTCCTCTGACTCTCATCATCCCCCACGGCGGGTGGAGAGACTTCCCCAAGCACAGGGCCCCAGAGTCCACCCGGAGACAAGCAGAAGTCTCCTTTCTGTTGCTTTTTTGTCTCAAATGTTATGTCTTACAACGTCAGGATGTATGCGTACAGTGGTCTAGTATATAATTTATCAGTTTATCATTTATATATAAATTACATAACGTGGTTATATAAGATATAATTTATAATTCATCTCTATTCTGTGAGCGCACTTAAATGCTGCCTTTTCTCTCTCTTTGCCAAAAACGGAGTCTAATCAGAAAAGTTCAGAGAGGGATGTCCAGAAGGTAGAATGGAGCCAGCTTTTCACTTTCTGGCTTTGTCTGTAGGCTTCATCCTCCACTGCTTCCCCCTTTTACTCCCCTTTCCTCTCGCCACCACGGCTGACAGCCTCAGGTGCCCTCAGAACACCAGTAATTTCAGACACTCTGATTCCTGCCTCGAGTTCCACCTTACTTGCTATTCCTGCTCTGCAGGTGCTCTTGGCGGCCCCTAGGCCACGGTAGGCCTATCTCTGGCTCAGCTGTCTTGTCTGGGAGCCCTAGAGCAGGAGGCCCAGGCGCTATCAGAGATCAGATCCTCATTTCAAGTCTTAACCTCACCGCTAGAGGGGAGATTTTGGGTTCCTGAGGCTAATCAGTCTCTACAAGGTCAGGGCTGCTGACCCCACTAATCATCTTGAGCCTCCTAATCCATCCCTGAGGCTTGAGAGCTGGCAGGGGCCATCTCCTAGCCCCTCTGCAGGCCGGGCCTGAGGGGATGGGGCAGCTCAACCATGTGTACCACCCTCTTCCTGCTCAGCACCTTGGCCATGCTCTGGCGCCGCCGATTTGCCAACCGGGTCGAACCGTGAGAAACTGCCTGTGCTATGGATCGGGAATTGGGGGGGGGGGGGGAATCAGGCTGGGCATGAAGATGGGCAAGCTGAAGATGGGTAGGGGCTGACTGGACCCTGGCTGGGCTGGTGGTTGAAGGAAAACCTGAGAGGTTCACTCTCAGAGTGTGTGTGTGGGGGGGGGCACTAGACGGCAGCCTCCAGGCTCCACACTTCATGTGGCTCTACCCTGGGAGGACTCAGCCCTGCCCACAGCTCTTCCCACCTGCTCTTTCCTTCCACAGAGAGCCCAGCCGAGCGGATGGAGCAGTTATGGGCAGTAGCGCGGATACAGACCTCCAGTCCTCTTCCTTGGGCAGGTGACGGAGGAGAGAGAGTCAGGGGTGGGGGGAGGAAGCTGTTGCTCTGTGTGTGTGTGTGTGTGTGTGTGTGTGGTCCAATACATGTGTGCAGTGCACCATATCCAGGCCCTCAGCCTAGTCACCCTGTTCATTGTGTAGCATCAGGCCAGGTATGTTTTCACCAGGTAGCCCCCTCCTCTGGCCCAGAGCTCTGCTTCTCTGAGTGTGAGTGTGGGGTGGTCCCCAGGAGGTCCTCCCGTGGGAAAGTGCGGAGGAGCGCAGAGAGGGAGGAGGTAGAAGCTGCTCTGTTGCTGTGCATTCCTGTCCTTGTCCTTCCCTCCCCCTCTGCCTACCTCTGTCCCCGCCTGCCTGGGCTCCGCTGTCTGAACCTTCAGCCCGATTCGCTGTCCAGTCCCCAATAGGAGGCGCAGGAGGTGCATGACATCACTGGCGCTGAGTGCCATTGGCTAAGCAGCCCCTACGGGCAGGACACTGTCTCCAGTGGCCACAAAGTTAACTCTTCCCTGGGCCGAAGCTATGTGGCCTTTGGGGACAAACTTGTGGCCATTTCTACATGGCCTTGGCTAGCCAGTGCCCTTTGATAACAGGGGATCCCAGGCCCCTTTTACAAAGCATTGGAAAAAAAAGTCAACCAGTGTCTGTTAAGTTTCCTATGTATGAGGTATTCTTAGCCAGGTGCTGGTGGTTCACACCTGTAATCCTACAGAAGCCTGAGATCTGAGGATCTCAGTTCAAAGCCACTCCTGGCAGGGAAAGTCTTTGAGACTTAGCTCCAATTAATCACAAGAAAGAATGAAGAGGACCAGAAGTGGAAGTGTGCTTAAGTTGTAGAGCACCAGCCTTGAATGAATAAACTAAGAGACAGCGCCCAGTCTCCAAGTTCAAGTCCAAATTCTCTCACTGTTTCTGTGTCTCTGTCTCTCCCTCTCTCTCCTCCTCCCCCCTCTTCCCCCCCTCCCTCTCTCACACACACACACATTCTGTGTGTGTGGTCCCTCCTAGCATGGAAGACCTGTCTGAAGAGCAATTCTGTCATTCTTAGAGAAACGAAGTAAGAGATTCTGTGGAGTCTACCAGCTCCAGGGCACACACTCGAGGGAGGCTGCCCCCCCCGCACCCCCCCCCCCCCCGTTGTGCTCAGGTGGCTGGCCTGTCAGTACCAATGCCTGTGACCCTCTGTGTCTGCAATGAGTCCCTTGGATTCATACAAACTGGTCACAGAAAGAACTTGAGTTCATCTCTGTCTCAGTCCTGGGATTCTCCCAGATGCAAACTATCAGAAGACCCAATAGGAAGCCCTGGGAACGTGTGGGAGACGGAGGTGTTTCTGTGACTCTTCCCTCCTTCCTAATGCCACCAGGAGCTAAGCTGGCCACAGGCGTGCCTGATGACCGCTCTGAGCAGGCTGGCACCTGAGAATATCTCCACTGGGCCTTTCCAGTAGGAGACTGTCCCATGACCACAGGTCTTCACTATTGTTTGGTTGCCAGATTTTAAACCCCAGTCCCCCACCCCCTTGGGGTTTTGTGGGGGGGGGGTGGATGTGAGGTTTTTTTGAACTCAGGCCCTGGGTAGTGTCACTGAGTGACTTTTGCTCAAGGCCAGCGCTTTACCACTTTGAGCCACAGCACCATTTCTGGTTTTCTGGTGGTTAACTGGAGAGGAGTCTGGACTTTCCTGCCCAGGCTGGCTTTGAACCATGATCCTCAGATCTCAGTCTCTTGAGTACCGAGGGTTATAGGCATGAGGTTACAGCCCCTGGTGCCTGGCCCAGCTCCCCCTTTTATGAGAGACTTTGGACAACTTCTGTAGCCATTTTATCTTTTTTTTTTTTTTTTCTACTGTTAAGTTTTTGGCAGTACAGAGGTTTGAACTCAGGGCCATGTACACTCCCTTGCCTTCTTCACAACGGGCGTTCTACCCCTCAAGCCATTCCTCTAGCCCTGCTTTTAGCTGGTTATTTTGGAGACAGAGTTTCCTGGACTCTGAACCTGGATCCCCAAATCTCAACCTCCTGAGTAGTTAGGATTATAGACATGAATCACTGGCTCTGAGTCCCATTTTGTTTCTTGCGGACTGGGGTTTGTAACCAAGTGGCCTTGAGGTTCGGAGGGAGACACAGAGTAGCTGCTTACTTATTTTATGCTTGGTTAGTGCTTTCTTTTCCCCGTCTCTCACTTTGAATTCTCAGCCACCTCAGAGGTTTGGCAGGGTATGTGCTCTTCAGTCACTTGTTAGGAGTTGAGAAAACTAAGGAACAGGGCAATTTTTAAAATTTTTATTTATGTTGGTCGCGGGGCTTGAACTCTGGGCCTGGGCGCTGTCCCTCAGCTCTTCAGCTCAAGGCCAGTGCTCTACCACTCGGGCCATAGCACCACTTCTGGTTTTCTGAGTGGTTTATTGGAGGTAAGGGTTTCATGGACATTCCTGCCAGGGCTGGTTTTGAACTGTGATCCTCAGATCTCCTGAGTAGCCGGGATGACAGACATGAGCCACCGGTGCCTAGCGGAACAGGACAATTTAATGTGAGGTCCCCTAACTTCTAGGTAGCCAAACTCTTCTACATAAAATTCGGTAACCCTCCATGGCAGGAGAGGAAAGCCCGATTGAGGCACCATCTGCCAGGCCTGGCTTGATGTAGCTCAGCCAGAAGGAAGCAGTTGTCTGTTCCTGCAAAAATTGGTTTGACAGAGAGGGTCAGAGTACAGATGGGCAGCTGCCACAGAGGGCTGGCTGGGTGGCACAGGGTGAGATGTTTGCTCTCCAACCCACAGTCACGAATTCTAATGGTTTCTTACATGATCCTAAAGCGTGAGGAGGAAGAAGACAGCAGAAATACAGGACGTTCCAT